AAATGATATAACTTCTTGATCAGCATTGTACGTGTTATTAAATTTGGGGAAAGTAAATAAAAGTTAAGTTAAAGTTAATTAAGTTTAAATGATATGTTTGTATTATTATGTTTATGAATTAACAGTTGTTAAAGACCTTTTCATCTGATAATTTCTTAATATTAGTCATATCGGGGTTTACAATAAAAAGCTTCAATTTGCTGAGGTAAAAGATCAATTTTATTGTTAAATATAAAAAAGTTGTATTACAACAAAATATTTTGTTGATTATAACCTGTTTTCTTACACCTAAGATCTCTCATGCTTAGGGCTGCGCTCTACCCCTCTAGCGCGTGCAAATGCAAGGGTTTTAGTTCTTACTGTTTGTAGCCCCAATTGTGAACCGATTTAAAAGATCTTGGTGTCATATTTTTTGTTAAATATTATTGTAGGTTTGCCGCTTTAAAAAATTTTGATATTTAAAAAAACTTTGGGCTCGAAAGTTGGTAAAAATTTTGAAATACACGTTTTTTATCATAGGTTTAATGCATACAAATAATTTTCAGAGAAAAATAACAAACGGAGGAAGTGCAATAGATTCTTAAAAACAAGAATCTGCAGTTAGTCTTTTTTCAAACTAAGGATAACGGTGTAATCAAATCACCCAGTGTGGAGTCAAATCGATCGAAAGGTCATCAAATCGATCTTCGAAAGGTTTGCAAGCACTCTTCATGGCGCTGTTCAATGCAATGGTATAGGGACATTGGCGTTCAGCAACCTCGTATTGAGAAATCAGAGCTGAGGTAGAGCGCACCCTTAACAGTCTGAGTAAACCCAGTGAAATAAAGTGTAGCTACAAGCCGAGGTATTGAAAAGAGCGCAAACTATTAACACTAACTAGGGTGCCTACTGCCATCTGATTTATAAATTCCACTCTACACAGTAAGTATTGTAATGAAATATTTTAATACCACTCTATTACTAATGTTCAATATTTATTTATTTCTCAAAAAATAATCTACATCCTCTATATTACAATCACTTTCAAACAAAAACATTTACGTTTTATATTATTATTGTTTACGTATGAAGGCCGGCTCCTATAATAGCCAGTTGTTTCTCCAGATTAATTTTTTAAACAAATTACTGATACATAAAAGATAATCATAAATCTTTGAAAAGAGCAGTCATTTTATTAAATAATTTGAACGTTTGTACATAATTGGTAATCTAATTTTAGTTTGCAAAAATTACGAAGATTTGTTTACAAATTTTTTTTTAAAACATAATTGTATGAGATAATACCCCTGCTGCAGCAAACCTGCAGACTAAGTGAATTTCTATTTGCCTGATTTGATTTACACTAGCATGTCACTTAAAAAATATCACATTTATTCCCTATTTAAATAGAACGAGGTGTTAGCCCGTCCTACGTACGGGAGTTCAGTAGTCAGTTAAAACCGTGTACAATTCAGATCAGCTAGTAAAGGCTACAAATATAAAGACAAAGTACCTTGCAGTTTAAATGTGAAGAATCATCTTGTAAACAAATGTTGTGTGACCAAATATGTTTTTATTCCATTATAGGCCTATACGATATGCATTTTGAATCCGATAATTTTACAATTAAACAGCAATTCTGCAATTTTTACGATGTGAAAAGCGTTGAAGTGAGATTTGCAGCCGATTCGCACAGACGCACACTGATTATAAGTAGCCTACAGTAGAGAGAGTAATAGTCAATTGAGAAGTGTATAGACCTAGTCAACGATACCACCTTCCATAGCATACCTGCCTCTTCCATAATTATTGTCACCACAATACAACTACTATACACAATTTCCAGTAGAATAAAAACAACCTAAAATAAAACGATAATATCCAATAAAATTCACAGTACACAAAATTTTACTTTGGTGTCCTAACATCAAAACTAATCGTCACACCTATCTTTTATATCAATTTCACTGCATTAATTGCCAAATAAATAAGTGTAAACAAAGAAAAGTAAAAATACCCCCGCCGCAGCAAACCTGCTGACTAAGCGAATTTCCATTTGTCTGAATTGATTTTCAATTAAATATATTTTAATAACATTAGGTTTAATGAGTACCTAGGTTTGCTGCTACAAGGAAACTAATAAAGTGTGTTTTTTAGTAAAATATTGATAGCTTAGTACAAAAAAATAAATTTGCCAAGTTTGATCAAATTATATCCACAAACAAGCAAACTACAACATTTGACAATATTCTCCATATGAATAACATGGAAATTTTAAATTTACAATTTTTTTTAATTTTCTCCGTTACTAATAACCGAACAAAAATACTTTTATATACTAAATTATTTGTTTTTTTTAAGCTCTTTAAAAAGGTTTAAAGAGAAATTGGGAAATTTTGTGTTTTGAGGGTCAAAAGTGAGAAAAACCAATTTTTACCCCATAAAACCCCCCGTAAAACCCCGTTCCCATGGTCCGATCATGCTGGTTTGCGAACTCATTCAAGTTTATCCCGCCTTACACCTTTAAACCAAATTTCATCAAAATCGGACAAAAATTACTCAAGTTATCGCGTTCACGGACGTATATATATATATATATATAAATCTATATATATATATATATATATATATATATATATATATACATATATAAAAATTTGAACGAATAGTGTTTTTGGCCTCTGGGGACATCAAAATGAAAAAGTAAATCGGTCTCGGGCCTAGGTCTTACCGTGCCACCTACGGTAATAGCTACTTCCCTATAGGGAAATTCGCTAACAATAACAGTTTGTTTTGAAACAGCTGTTTGGTTCAAAAAACATTCATTTGAAAAAAAGAACTGGTCACATGTAGCAGGAATATAAAAAGTAAACACGCTAGTAAAGCTAATGACGTAATTGTCAATGTTTATTATCCATACCGTTATCAGTTCTATCCTTGATAATTACCCACCCTCATTGAATAAATGTACATCGTAATTTCCCATATTAGTTAATTTAAACTACAATATATTCATAGTTGAAATAAAAGTGATATTTTCACGTTTGGGGGTGCCTTTTCACGTTTGGGGGCGCTGATATAGGCACCCCCAAACGTAACCAAACCACAACTGAACACGATTTCATAAAAGGATGGTTTGTCTAATTGCAGTATCCTAGGTCAATGACGATGATGTTGACGTTGTGTTCAATCTATGTCATCCATCTGTTTATCTTTGTATAAAACCTGGCTGAGGTTGTGGTGGTAATTTAAAATCGTGATTCCTGATTATTCTTGATCTTCTTTTTATGACATCAATATTTCCGGGCCTAATCCAAACAAAGTTAAAGCAGACAAACATTAATTGTAAACAAAAAGCTACCATGAAGAATTAAAACATGTAAACATTGTTATTTTTCTAATCTTTCCTTGAAAAGTGGAGCAGTAAAATAATTTGCATTTTTCTTTTTTTAGTAAGACTCGTGTACAGAGCATCGATTTGTAACTGTGGTTTAATTAATTTTGGTCTAAACTATTTTAAACTGTGGTCTAATTATCTCTACTAATCTAACTTATTTCCTATAATCAATGACAAAATAAGAGCAAATAAAATAACCTCATAGTTCCATAGTTTAAATTTAACCAGCTGTTTGTTAAAACAAATTATATATTGATCTAAAACAAATCGAAGGTTACACAGATTGCTTTAAAAAATAATTTAAACAGCCTAGTATTTTACTACGTATATTTAATTAATCTGTCATCCTCTTACAGAAGAATTGAACGTATCAATGATTAGCATTACACATAGTATAAATAAGTCAACCCTAAGTATGTCTTTAAATTTTTATCCAAATGCTGAATTTGTGACACAAAAGCTGAATGTTTACAGCTGTTATGTTAAGCAAATTATTTTATGCCAAAAGCTAGTTTAGAATCTTAGTGTCGGCTGCTAGACTTTTTAAAAATTACAGCTTAATTTCTAAAAAACTGGGACCCTAAACTAAAATTATGGCTTCGACATTCCCTAGTTCTCAAAATTATCTTTCTTTCAACACAAAAATCATGAAAATCCGTCGAGTGGTTGATTCAGAATCGTGAAATAAAAAAACACTGTTTCGTTTTAATATTATAGATTAGTTTAACAAGTACTTAGGTTTGCAGCAACAGGGAGGGTGAAAAGTGTTTTTTTTTTGTAAAATGTTAATAGTTTAGTAAGAAATAAATGCATCTTCCAAATTTGATAAAAATACGTTCATAAACAAGCAAACTACAACAGTTTATTTATTCCCCATAAGAATAACGGGAATTTTAAATTAAAGTTTTTTTTTTAATTTTCTCCGTAACCATTTTGCGCACAATTATGCTTCAATATACTAAATTGTTAGTTTTTTTTAAGCTCTACAAAATGGTTTGAAAAGAAATTGCTAAATTTAATGTTTTTTGGGTAAACAGGAAAAACCTATTCTTACCCCATAAACCCCCGTTCCCATAGTCCGATCATGCTGGTTCGCGAACTTGTTTGAATAAATGTAGGTTTACACGTTTATACCAAATTTTATCAAAATCGGATCACCTTTGCTCGAGTTATCATGCTGACGGACACAAATATATATATATATGTATATGAATTTGAACGGGTGGTGTTTTTGGCCTCTAGGGTCCTCAAAACAAAAAAGTAAATTTGTTTTGGGTCCAGGTCTTACCATGAGTACTACGGTAATAGCTTATTCCCTATATGAGAAATTCGCTAAAAATAGTCAAATGTATTTATTTTAAATTAAGCTATTAATATTTCACTCAAAATTACATTTTATTACCATCCCAGTAGCAAACCTTGTTAAATATAATATTATTTAAATAGGGATTAAGTTATATCTGACATGTGAAAGTAAATATTTCAGTGAAATTCCAATTAGGCAATAATGGAAATTCGCTTAGTCTGAAGATTTGCTGGGGAGAGGGTATTTTAATAGTGCAATGTGATGGAAAAGGTTTCTTCTTCCCGCCATCACGTTTCTAATTAGACATTCTGTGACCAGGGAAGACGGTCGCGTGGGTGGAGTTGGCGTGGTGGTGTTTTTATGTATCCCAGTCGCCTACGTTTCATTGGAGAATTTGGAGCTATTGACACCTCTGCGCCAGTTGCGTGTCTTGTGTGCTGGAGTGTGGCACAACGCTGTGCTCGCGTTGGCAGCAATGTGTACTCTACTGGTCACTCCATGGCTACTACTACCTCTTTATGACTGGGGAAACGGTGTTCAGATCCACTCAATACAATTGGTAATCCTTATATATAATTCTGTAAGACAAAATTTGTACCAGAAAATTTTGGACGTCTGGTAAGTCGCACAAAAGTGAGAGAGGTCTTAAATTAAAGGCCTTGACCCCAGGGACTCGGGAAAAATATCAGAATTCCCATAAAGTTACCAGTAAACGAGATATAACGTAAAATGTTCTCTATAAGAATAGCATTAGAAGCCATTTACTGCTGATTTTTGTTTACTTCAATACAGCTGATTGTGATCTATCATCAAGCCAGTACGCAATGTTAACATTTGGATTACTTATTTGCCAGTCAATTCTGCAATGTAGGCCTACTGTATAAAACCAGGGATAACGTTACCGGTAACAATTAAGACTTTTTAGTTACGTTATAATGTGGAAATAAATTATTTTACTGTGAAACTTTTCAAATTTGTTTATTTTTTACTTTTAACAAGAAATAACCACATATTGACTGAATAATTAACGATTTAAGATTAAATGGAAAACTTCTGCTTTGTTTTTATTTCAAAACATTATGTTCTATATTTATGCTACACTTTCTTTATTTTTAACCAACTTCCCCACTACCAACAAAAGGAGGAGGTTCTCAATTTGTCTGTGGCGATGTTTTTTTTTTTTTCTATGTATGTTCACCAATTTCTCTGTGATTCTTTTACCGATCAGCGTGGTTCCACCACCAAAGTGCCAAACAGGTGACTCAAGCAGTTTAAAAATAATGATTGTTCTGTTGCACTTTTGATTGTTTCAAACAGTTTTGCTTATCAAAAAACTTCAAGTATATAACAAATTATACAGTCACTAAAAGTCATGAAATAATTTATTTTTGTAAAAAAATACAACCGACTTCAAATGCTCTAAAAAGAATTAAATAATTTCAATAAAGTAATCTTTTGTATTAGTCAAGCTCACGTATTTCAAGTCGGCGCGGCTCTAACTGCAAAAATATGAATAAAATAAAAGATATTGAGAGTGTATTTTGAAAATCAATAAATTGTCGCTGGATAACATCTATATCTATACTATTATAAAAAAGAGGTGGTTGCTGTATGTGTGTATGTATGGGAAAAGTAAACGCGAAAACTACTGGTCGGATCGGGCTGAAATTCGGCATGATGATAGGTCATATTCCCGATTAACATATAGGCATATTTTTATCCCAAAAATCCTTCCGGGCTCCGCCCCAGTGGCTCTGGAGTTTCCCATGTTAACCTTATGAGAAATGGAATTAATGAATCTTAACAGCTGTTTCAATTAAACAAGTTGGTTCTGTTCTATGATGTTCAATAGCATTAAAGTTACAAGGATTACCAACAGGGTGCAGCACTAGCACTATTATTTCTTTTACATTTATGACAACAGCTAATTTGCAACCAAAAGGTGAGTGAGCGTAGCGAACGAACTTCAACCTGGAGGCGAGTGAGCGTAGCGAACGAGCTAACCTGAAGGCAAGTGAGCGTAGCGAACGAGCTAACCTGAAGGAAAGTGAGCGCAGCGAACGAGCTCCAACCTAAAGGTGAGTGAGCGTAGCGAACGAACTTCAACCAGGACGTGATTGAGCCATGCAAACGAGATCATCTTGAAAATTAAGAAGTTAAACGGGGCAAAGCCCGCGGGTTACAGCTAGTAAATATATAAAAAAACATACTGAACTGTTTTGTTTATCAAAGGAAGTATTTTCTTGTATTTTATGTTTACTTCAGAATGATTGCTTAATGAAAATAACACACACAAATGTTCTATATGAATAGGAAAATTATTTATTTTGATATTATAATAGGGAAAAGAAGCTAGTTTAAAATTAAAACGTTACTTTTCCAAGTTAGAAATATGTAAATACATTATAATCTTTTTAAAGATACTCGTTAATACCACTATAAGATTATAATCACCTTAAGTTATAGATAGTCACCTGCAATGTGGACATCCTCTTTAAATTTTTGATCAAAAATCATCATAGAGCCGCGCCGACTTAAAATACGTGAGCTTGACTAATACAAAAATAAATTATAAATTTCAGATTTATTGTAGTGTTTAATCAATATTTTGTATGAAGTGGAATAACCTCAATGTCCTCAACGGCTGTACTCTTAGAAAATAACCTGGGAATAAAGATGGAATAGGTTCGTACAGGAAATATAAATTTGTGAACTAAGCAAGTACAGGGTGAGGCAGTGAAACGGCACGATTCCGATACCAGCTGACAAGGAATTTGGAGCTATTAGAGTATGGGCGAAATGACCGTAGACGTATAGACAAGTGGACATTTCAGTAGCAATGGGGCGTTGGACGAGTACCCAACATGCGTTAAAACGTAGATATTATGGTTTGTGCTCAGCTCACTTTCCGTTGTGAGTTCAGTATTATCGCCGCGGGCCCCGATCCATCAAGGAAAGCTATCCTCAATTGGATGAGTTAACTTTGAAGCCACTGCTAGCACGAAAAAGCGCTATAAAACGATTGCAGCCGCTATGCAAACGCTAAAGAACGTCATGGGCTGATTTCAATTCATAATTCAACAATGTGTGCAAAACCAAGTACGCCATTTTACTGACACCATATTAAAAAATAAAATTATTCTTAAGGTGAAACATTTATTTCCACTCATGTACTTAGGATTTATGATAGAACAACTATCCTTTTTTCAAAATGAATTATTTGTGATTTTTCAAAATCGTGCAGTTTCACTGCCTCACCCTGCACTATGACAAGATCCAATGGGAGGAAAAACAATATTACTTGGAGATTTTAAACAGGTACTGTCTGTTGCTCGCAAAAGAGTTAAGAATCAGCCGATGATTGGGCCGAATTTGATAGAATATGTAACGTCAATCGCACCTTTAAGAGGGATACCACTACAAAACTTAGAATAATTATTTTATTTTTTTTATGTTGATCAGAAAAAAATTTTGGGTTAAGTTTGGTCAATGGGATGCCTTTACTTTACACTAATGTTGTTAAACCTTAACAAAAGGAGTATAAACTTATAATTATTAACTGGATAGGGATGCTAATTAAGCGGGTTTGGCTAAGAACTAAGCTTACCTCAAAACTCCTTTATTTGACTTTTCATATTTGACGAAGACAATTTCCAAAATTCCAATCAGGGAAGTCTTTTTTATCACAATTAACCACAAGACCAAAGCTACCTTAATAAACCAGTATTTATTCACAAACAATTATATGTTTGCTGCCTTTAGCTGAGTTAACCCTATGTAGTGATTTGAATGATTTATTGAAAATAACATCATCAAAGACAAACAACAAACTGTTTTTACACAATAGATATGGCATACAGGGATATCTATTGTGACACAAAGATAATATATTTCTTAGTTTGTTTAAATATTACAATAATTTGTTTTAAATTATTGAGCTTTTTAGGGACTTATGTCCCTACAAGCCACTAGTTTCTTATAAAAAGTTAAACCTGTACCCTTTATCTTTTCTTTAAATTATAGTTTTTTTAATTACTGAATTGACCTTTTCTCATTTAGGCTAATAATTGATTTTAAATGGTCATAGATTGGTGGATCCACTCTTGAATAAGGTATTGGTTATGACCAGGATAAAAGTATAGGGACCTTTTGATTTAAAAGCAAGCATTTACTAGTCCCAACTTCTCAAGTTATTTAATTAAGGAAAAGTACAGATCTGATATGAACAAGCACTTAAGTGCGATGGAAAAGAATCTAGTACACACTTAACTCAACCATCAATTAACTGCCGTTATCAGCGTTACCCACCAAACATTTCCTTCTAGCACTTAGAAACCCCCCCCCCCTTTATATACATATTTGAGGAGATGCTATTTTTTACTCAATTGTTCTATTGAGCTTAAATTTGCTGTATTGTATCCTACTAGTAAAGACTTTTAATTTGTTGTGCTTACATTTATGATTTTCTTCAGACTTCTAGCGGTCACCTTCTTGTGGAGGTAGCAAGCAAATTCAATGCATCTTTGAACAGCTGTGATTTTGAGCTCAGTTGTCCATTTGGGTTTGCGGCAATGTGTTCTACTCGTGATACCAAACTCGACCTATGCTGCTATTTAGGAATTTTGTCTGACTATCCTCATGGGCCGTCCCCCTTAAGGGATAAAAAAGCGATCATAACTCAAAATAGTAGCCTAGTAATTTATAGTTATTATTGATAATTAACAAAGTTTCAAAACAAGTTTCAAGTTGATAAAAATGAAGTTTTATTTTAAATCTATAATAGTAAAAGATATATTACACTGTTGCGGGACTTTTGAATAACACTGTATATACATAATACTGTAAATAAAAACCAGGAACAAATAGCGTTTCTGGCCTCTAGGGTCATATGAATTAAAAAGCATATCGGTCCTGGGTCTAGGTCCTACCGGGTCACCTACGGTAATAGCTACTTCTCGAGAAAACAGGGACAATCCCACGTTTGTCACCCTAAATATTGCATTAACTGTAACACTATTTATCTTCAGTTTGTTATTAAAAATATTTGTTGTAGCTAATTATATTTCCTTGAGTAATTATTCAACATAAGAAACACAAACTAACCTTTAAGACGGACTCTCTCAGTTGCACTGCTTTTCTAACAGGTTTCCACTCAGTTGCTCAACAATCATATTTATTAAATTTTATTATTTTTACAGGATTCACCAGTTTATGGGATGGGAGGCTTGATGGAGAAAGATCTAGTTACCAAAGTCAACGAGTGTGTTGTCACCGATTCATATAGTTGGCAGAACTGCCTCGGTAGAGCTGTGAGGTTGGCGACACCTGGATACTGCTTGCAATCAGAGTTTATTAAAGAGCACGATGAATCTGTTCCTGGTGAGAAACTTAACTATGGTCTAAAGAAGTAAATGCAGTGCTCGATTTGCAGGGGAACGGAGTTCCGGTACCTCTCTTTCAGGAAGATAAAAATATTGGCATAAATAGGTACAAATCACATTAAGGGTGTTTGGTCGTAAATTTTCATGTCTGATTTTTTGTTATTGTTCAGTTGTACTAAAAATTAGAGATACAAATATATATATTATTTGTACCTCTAATTTTAGTACAATTAAACAATAAAAAAAAATAAGACATCAAATTTTTGACCAAACACCCTTAAATAGGTTACAGTTCCGGCATCTCATTTTTTACAAGTCGGGCACTGAGTTGTTAGTTTTTTACTGGGAGAGCACAATTCTGTTAACTTAGGCGATGTCCTAGCTGAGTATTGAAAAATGGCTTGCAAATAGTTATTGTGCATCATAATTCTAAATTTGATTCATTGAAAGTTATATTCCCTTCTTGATTAACTTATCCTTAAAGTTTTTAGGAACAAATCAGCAATAGGTTGAGTTGACAATACAAATAATAGAACCACTGCACTTAATTTACGCTAAAACAAGTTAGAAATTTAAGGGAAGCGTTGAACTGAAGTTTTCAGTCCCTATTTGGGGATCTAATAATTCTTTAATATATTCCTTGTCTAACTCTTCAAACATCCTTGTAATCAATGGACTAGATGTCAACTCCTATAATTAGTGTATGTACGGAAAGTAAATAAAGATATGTCTAATAACACTTAATATATTTACACTTATAATGTTAACTCACAAGACGGTAAATATAAATATGTATAAAAGAGTGGTGATCAATTTCGATTGGACACTCCAATCATCAGACCCAATAGGCGAATGACAAGAATCTTGAATGGCGTCCCTACTTATATCCCATTGGCTACGGGAAGCACCGGGCAATACATTTTTATAAGTACAACTGGATGATGATTGATGATCAACTTCCTGGACCTCACATTAGAGAGAAAAGACAACAAGATAGATGACATCTACAGGAAACCTACGCAAACGAACACTACAATCAACAATAAATCTATTCATCCGACAATTCACAAGGCGGAGATCCATGCTGTACCGAGAATATAAGATCCTACTTAGCCAAGCCAATAGGAAGAAAGAACTGGACACCATTAAGAAGATCACACAAGTTACCGGTAATGGATTTCAAACCAAGACAATAGAGGACATTGCAAGATAGACGAGGAGAAAAATCAATAGCCAGAATAAACTACACAGCAGAACAACATTAGAAGAGATGAAAGAGGAATATATTCCCGAGATCAATACAATGATAATTAATAGGTAACGTATTTATTGTGTCCATCTAATACAACATTAAACTACAACAATCTCTGTTTACAAACAAACCCCAACATCAGGTTTTATATAATCATATGATTTGTATAAAGACAGAAGGAGAGACCAGCACATCCTCCTCTCACAAGTCGAGCGTCTGGGGTAGGTCTAGTGAAATTCATCTTTAAGATTCGATAAATGAACTCGGTTTCTTCTTAATCTTCCCCCATTTTCCGTTTCCACTATGTAGGACCTGGGCTGTTTGTGCTTTCGTATGATTCTTCCTTTTACTTGCTTGTCCCTGACATAAACCATTTGTCCATCTTGTAGCTCTTCTCTTTCTCTCGTTGCATGCCTCTTATCGAACCGGATTTTCCTTTTACTTCTTATATGTTCTTCTTTGGATCTCAGTGTTTTGAGATCGGGTGTTTTTGGGACAAGGTTGACAGGAGCAATGGGCACAGTCCCTCTTACCTTTCTGTTCATAAGCAACTCTGAAGGAGAGTAACCATTCTCTAAAGATGTTGAGCGGAAAGCCAACAGGCCCTCATGTATGTCTTTACACTTGAGAATAATCTTCTTAGCAGTTGCTACTGCTGACTCGGCCAGACCATTGGACTGTGGATAGTTAGAACTACTAGTTGTTATAGTAAAACCCCAATCTCTTCCAAAGTTCTTAAAATCTTCGCTATCAAACGGGGAACCATTATCACACCTAAGTGTGTGTGGAATACCAAATTGTGAAAAGATCCTTTTCAGTATTTTGATTGTGGGTACTGCAGCAGTCGACTTTGTTGGTATCACATCCAAATACCTTGAGTAGTAGTCCTGTATCACAAAAAATAATTGACCCTTGACTTTGGCGAAGTCACATCCGACTAGGGACTGAGCACATAAAAGTCTTATCAGATGTCAGATGTTTGTTTACGATCTTCATAATTTATTACTAGGGTGATGATGCAATAAAAACCCATTAGCAGTCCCAAATCCATTAACATTTTATCACGACAATAATTTATTCAAGTACTTCCAAGAACTGTTGAGTTTTATTACTTTTATTCCTTTACGACTTTCCCCAATTCTATTTTATCATAAAAGTAATAGTTTTATGATGCTGTAAATTTTATCTCTAATTCAGTCAGTATTTTCGTGAATATTAAATTTGCCGCTGGCCATTGCCTACTGCCATAAAACATTTTATGGCTTCATATTAAACTTGTAACTAATCTACAATCTTATTTTATTAATTAAGATATTGGTTATGGATATTTTATCTTTCTTTGATTAAACAAGCGTAGTAGTAGTAGTAGTAGTAGTAGTTGTTGTTGTTTGCATAATTTTTTTCCGTTATGCAAGCCTACTCGGTCTTAAATTATGTCATTGCATGTTCTGTATCTTGTCTTATATTGTTGGATGTGGCTGTTAAGGTTTGAATGTTTTTTGTTTCCTATATTTTCTTTTGTTGTGTTGAAGGTACTTTATGCAATCTAAATCTTATGAACTAGAATTATGATAGTGATTTTGCTACCCTCATTGTAACCTACTCAATTTATATAGGCCATCCTAATTACTTAGGTCTATGCCTGGGTATTTTGACTCTTTTGAAGAGCTTTAAAATATACTAAGAAAATTTGATTGAGTCTGAGATGAACTAATGATTGATATTAACATGTGGATATTAACTTTGTAAATGAAAAGACAATAATATTACTCTGTCGTAATCCAAATTTTAGTTTCAGAAAAATATTTGCAAGAGATGTATCCATCTTATAATTAGTTTTCAAGCTGAAAAAAAAGCTCTTTGCCATTACTTCATAATAACATCCTGTTTTTCATTGTCATCTGTTGAATGTGAAAACAGCTGGTAACTACACTGTTTTCGTACTGAATGCTTTTATATGTTTTTAAAAGTTTAAAAAACAACTAGACATTGTGTTGGTTGGAAATAATTGACCAGTTGTGTGAAATTATCTGATCAATTAATGCTTCAAACATGTTTATTCCTAAACATTCTTATCCTGATTTTAAAACCACTTTATCATGGCTATTCAAAGTATCTCAGAGTAAAATAGGTAAAGCCTTTATCTTAACTGTGATTTTTCTTGACACAAGCCTCGTAGGCCTAGGAGTAAAAGGTTTTAATAATGTGTGGTACAGTAATTGTGTTTAGTTAAACCATGAATGTAGGATACTATCCATTTTCATAGTAATGTCAATGTATTAAAATAAAAAATAATGGTTTAAATACAGTTCTGAAAAGAAAACCGCAAAAATACGGGTAGCCGCGTACCGTACCGGTTTTGTACCGAGAACCGAGGTACAAAATATTGTACCGTACCGAACCGTACCGACCTTAAATTTTCAGTACCGCAGACCCCTAGTTATTAGACATATCTTTATTTACTTTCTGTAATTTAATAACACGTACAATGCTGATCACGAAGTTTTTTAGTGTATTTAGTCCTATTGCTTGTTGTTTCACTGGTGAAGATTTGTATATTTGCTGCTTTCTACAGCCAAACATCTGTCTTTGGGAGTAGTTGAGTGTTGCAACAGCAACGCACCGAGACACTTGTGCTTCGAGTACTTGGAGATAGGAGACGAGCCGCTACAGTTGCCACAGTTCTCCTGTCTCAATGCGCGCACTGTCGTTGAACACTCGGCTGCAGTGTGTTATGACTCTCACGACTGTCCGGTCACGCTGCATTGCTTCCGACCGTCGCTGGAGAATTCTACCAAGCTGGTGACCATCAGGACCAAGACCGACCGCACGGTGTTGTTCCTTGGACACCCAGCGGAAGTGTTCCACACTGTCAGTGTCAGTGACTACACCAATCTCTACGCTCTATTTCCATCCACAATCCCCGAGCGAATACGTACGTTTTGTCAGTACATTACATCTTTTTCCATTGGTATGGCACTTCTGAACATCATTCCGTGTTTTTACTTTGACGGACAACACATTGTCAGATCTCTGCTGGATATTTATCTGATCAGACATATTGAACATGCAAGTGTCAGACATGCTATGTCGCTTTGTTTTACTTTCATCGGGACATTTATTTTAAGCTTGTATTTAATTCTGGCTTTGTGGTCGTCGTCTATCAAGTAAAAGGCCTTAGGTGAATTATTTAACAGTAGCGTCCATTTAAACTGTCTAAGACAAAGTGTGACTTAATTAGTTAATTTTTTTTTTTTTAAATGCATTACAATTCATAAGTAGTAAGGTAGTTTTTAAATGTTCTTAGAACTTTTCTGGACTATTTTAGTAAAGGTTTACATTTACGTAGATTTAGAAAGATGACCAACATTGTTACTTTTGATAGGGGATTTTTCCGTTTGTAGGAATAAATTTAGAGAACTATTATTAAATTTATATGCTTAAGCATATATGTATACTATTTTACCCTTGTCACATAAAGTTCAACAAATAAGGAGTACTTTTGTTTCAGATAGGTTATAGGTTTAGATGTTTGCAAATTCCAATGTTAGTTTTAATACGTTCAATATATTTTTTTTTTTATATTCTTTTAACTTGTTTGCTTATTGTCAACATCCATGATTATAATAATCTGCCTATTTAGTGCCTAAAACCATTTTAGTACCATAAATTTGATTTAATTTGTAGTTCAAGTAATAGTCTATTTGTGAGTAAACCTTTCCAACATTTAATTTTAATTGTCCTATATATCTTATTAGTTTTGTTACAGGCCTACTAAAGAAATTGTAATGTAACTGCTAAAAATCTTAGTTTCAGGATTAAGTTAATTCAAATCCAGCAAAAATAATATTAGTTTTACTCTGTAATTCTACTTTAGGGATGTTGCTAGTTAGGCCTAGTGGTTTGGGCTAGGACCTTCCATCCAGAAAAGCAAGGTTCAAATCTCACCACTCATCGGCAGTCTATCATGTCATTTTTACATATCACCCAGTCCTTAAGCTATAAATCCATTAATATGAACCAATTAATTGTCTGTGTTAAAGATCTCCCACCTAGAAATTCAAATTCTTTAAGGATTGTTTCTTTGACAAGAAGTAACAAGTAGAGTATAAGAAACTATTTTGGAATATTTCATTGTACAATACAAAAACAGGAACTTCAACAACTTCATCTATAGTAATAGCTGTTCGTTGTTTGGTATAAAATAAATAAATTTGCCAAGTGTTATCAAAACTAATATATCCATAAACAAGCAAACTACAACCATAAGAATAACATGGTAATTTTAAATTTACAATTTTTAGAATTTTCTCCGTTACCAATTAGGTACCTGACAAAAACACTTTGACATACTAAATTATTTGTTTTTTTAAGCTCCTTAAAAGGTTTGGAGAGAAATGTGGAAATTTTGTGTTTTGAGGGTCAAAAATGAGAAAAACCAATTTTTACCCCATAAAACCACCCGTAAAACCCCGTTCTCATGGTCCGATCATGCTGGTTTTTCAAACTCATTCAAGTTTATCCCGCCTTAAACCTTTAAACCAAATTTCGTGAAAATATGAAAAAAATTGCTCTAGTAGTCTTGTTCATGGACAGCAAAGAGTGGAAATGTAAAGACTGTCGAAGCTCTTCGTCCAGCAGTGCTACCTAACCCCATTTGAACCAGGAACAAAAACACGCTTCACAATAATCAACATCACGCCTTTAAATTTACGATAACTAAAACCGTAATATGGCGAGATGATTGCATTGTATTTCAACAAAGGTTATGATTGAAAGTTACTTTACTGTTTATTTTGGGTGGGCCCGGCCCACTTGGCCCTTATGGAAGCGCCGCCACTGGCTGCAATGGTGGTAAAGTGCAAAGCTACTACCTTTGCAGCACCTACCTGAACCTTTATACAGTCTGGTCATGGGCACTACACTAAGCATACACACTTGATGGACGGGTGGGACATTATAATAGCTGCTTTAATATGACATCGTTTGGAGCAAAGCAGGTTGTAGCTGAATGAATAAATGAATTTATTTTTCATATTACAAAACATGTTACAATCATAATAATTGTTGAGAAATTTAAACTGGTCACATTTTCAAGTAGTGTGACCAGTTACAAGCTTAAACATATATAATATATAATAAATTGTTGAGCATAGCGTCATATGACAAATATTTTATCCGAGTTGGCGAGATAACCTACATCCTATTGAGAACTAAGCCAAGTGATTGTTCTCTTACAAAAATGTTTAAAATTTCTTGTACTTTTAATATGAAGCAGAAGTTGATTGTAAAATTTTGGACCCAAGTATTGAAATGAATGCCTGAAAAAAGTTTAGTTTACTTTGGGTAATTTAATAGATTTATTTGTAAAACTTCTTGTACTGTAATGATGATTTGGAATTATATTTTCTCTGTTTCCGCTCCGGATGAAGAACAATCTCAGGACTATAAAAATAAAAAGATGTTGAACTGGTAGAATGCATAACTGTTGGTATAATGGAAAAGAGCTAGTTTGTTTAGGACTTTTGAGAATTATTCGCAAGAAAAAATGTTAAGTTGTTCTTATCTTCTCTATTAATGTTTTGTAAGTACCTCCCCAGCAAGGCAAAGCATATTGTAATCTCGAGTTTATCAGTGCGAAATAAAGTGTTTGTAAAAGTGAGGTGTTGCAAATATTTTGAATAAAATATAACTTTCTAATTTGTGATCTTAATTTTGAGTGTAGTTCTAAAATATGGTGTTCAAAAGTTAGTTTCTCATCAAGCAAAACTCCCAAGTATTTATAGTACAATAAAATTATGTTTTGACCCCCAAAAAATTAGCACAACCAAGGAATTTGGTACAAATGTTGGGTGTCCCTTCCTTTTGAACATACTAAAAGTCCCCTAAAATTGAAGCTGTGCTACGGCCGCCATATTGGGAAATGGCGGCATATTTCTGTATTTTTGGCTATAGTGGCTTTATTATTAGAGATACAGGAAAAAGCTAAATGTACAAAATGTAGTCCATTTAAAATACACATTTTTCGTATTTATCATTTTTCTCTAAACCCAACGGTTTTTGAGTTATTTGTGATTAAGTATATTTAATTTTTCTATTTATCAAAAATAGACGAAAAACATGGAAATTGACGGTTGCTTTCAAGGTTTACGATAATTCATCCCATTTAGTCAAATAGTGTGATACTATACTATAAAATTTTAAAATTTAACTATATTTTATGAGTAAAACAACTCCACCACAGCTAACCTGTGGACTCAACAAATGTCCATTTGATTGGATGTTTTATTACATATGTATATAAATAACATTAGGTTTAACAGGTACCTAGGTTTGCTGCTACAGGGAGGGTAGTATAGTGCGTTTTTTTAGTAAAATATCAATAACTTAGTATAAAATAAAAAAAAATTCCAGGTTTGATCAAAATAAATCTATAAACATGCAAACTACAACAGTTAACTAATTCATAAGAATAACATGGGAGTTTTAAATTTACAATTTACAAATTTAAATATACAAATAAATGTTGGTTGTGTTGACCATCGACTTTGACGGTTACTTTCAAGGTTTACGACAATTATTCATCCCACTTAGTTAAACCGAGTGATATCATGGATAAAACATTCTCCCATAGATTTTTTATCCTTATGGATCAGCCAAAGTATTTTGTTGTTAGTTCTGTCCGGTGGGCTGTAGAGGTCGTGTTTTGTTTACAAATTGTTTCTAGTTATTTCAGTCATTGAAAACCTCGTCAAACCAAATAAAAAGACCTAATCGTGCTTACCCTAGTTCTATAACCAAACATTATAATACAAATCACAAAAATTGCCCCTAAAATAATAGAAACTCTTCGTCACTAGCGTCACCAACGTGAACTAGACACGAAAAACGACCTTCCAAATTTGCAATAGGATGTCAAGTCTGCTTGTGTTAGTTAGTGTGGTAGTGCCATCAAAATATTAAAATGTTACTTTATTAAATGGGTACAAAATGAGGATAAAATATTAATATGACTGTTGCGTACTTTACAAAATATGGTTGATTACTTCACTACATACAATATTACTTGGTACGAGTTAATAGGGGAGAATGGGGCACATTTGAACACTTTTTAAACTAAAATTTTTAAATAGGTGAATTTATGTGTTTTTAATAAAAATATTATTACATTTAGTTTTAACATAATGTTAGCTTTAATTGAGTTATTTTTTAAACCCTCTAAGTTAACATGTTAATGTGCAATATCTGTTTTCACAAAGGTATGCAAATCGTTCAAAAGTACCCCACTGGTACTTTTGAACAAGAAGTGGGGTACAATTGAACACACTAATTAAGTAAAATGAAAATTTTTATCTTACAGAAATCGTTATGCATGTGTGTTGATAAAAACAGTTCTTATTTCTATTGGAACTAATTCTTCATTTAATGTTTTAGATTCATGTTATTTATAGCTAAATGTTGCAAAGTTAATAGCAAAATTATATTAGTTCGCTGCATGTGCAGTTCTCACACTCATTGGTTGGTTGAGGAAGCTTATAGTTTTAAATTATCATTATTCATTACTGTCTTGTATAGGAAACAAATATAATCAGTTGGGGTACATTTGAACATCATGCTTACCAGAGGAAAACAGTGGTGTTCAAATGTACCCCTCAGACTCTTGTTTAAATCTACCCCACTAGACACCATTTTGCAAAAAGTTAAATTATGTTTTCTTGGATTGTAATTTATCAATGTGAAGTGCATGATTGTATCTAAATATGTATAAGCCATAAGGTAAATGGATCAAACTTATCTGTAATGTAGTTTTTCTATGGAAAATTTACAAATCCCTACTGCTTAAAAAATTGTCTTATGGCGCTCTAAAACTTCTTTCCCCAACAACAAACTAAGAACTGATCAGAAATTGAGGGAGATGAATGCAACCAGTTGCCCTATTGGAGGGCTACATTTTACATCTGGTCCATGGCCTGAGAGTATAAAAATGACGGCAAATTTAAACCGTTCAAATGTGCCCCATGTTCAAATGTGCCCCACTCTCCCCTATTACTCAAATAACTTGCTCCATCTCCTTTTGAAAACCCCTTCGGTTAGTATTCGAATCATGACGAATAATCGCCATCTTTTTAGTAAACTCAACTACAATTTGTAAATTGTAAATTTAAAACTCCCATGCTATTCTTATGAATAAGTAAACTGTTGTAGTTTGCTTGTTTATAGATTTATTTTGATCAAACCTGAAAAATTTGTTTTTTTTATACTAAGCTATTGATATTTTACTAGGAAAACACACTATAATACCCTCCCCATAGCATCAAACCTAGGTAATTGTTAAGCCTAATTTTATTTATATACACTTAATAAAACATCCAATCAGTCAAATGGAAATTTCCTGAGTCTGCAGGTTTGCTGTGGCGGAGTTGTTTTGCTCATTAAATAAAGTTAAATTTTAAGATTTTATAGTATCGCACTATTTGGGATGACTTTGACTAAATGGGATGAATTATCGTAAACCTTGAAAGTAACCGTCAATTTCCATGTTTTTCGTCTATTTTTGATAAATAGAAAAATTAAATATACTTAATCACAAATAACTCAAAACCCGTTGGGTTTAGAGAAAAATGATAAATACGAAAAATGTGTATTTTTAAATGGACTACATTTTGTACATTTAGCTTTTTCCTGTATCTCT